TTCACAGGGAACTTCCACCAAACTTTTAATGAGGAGCTACTACCTATTCTTTTCAAATGATTCAAAACTATTTGGGAGGAGGGAACACTCCCAAGTTCATTCTATGAGGCCACCACTATTACCTTATTACCAAAATCAGACAAAGGGATTACAAAAAAAGAAAATTATAGACCAATATCTCTGATAAATATAGATGTAAAAATCCTCAACAAAATATTAGCAAACCAAATTCAACATTACATTTAAAAAAAAATCATGCACCATGATCAAGGAGGATTATTTTCCCAGGGATGTAAGGACGGTTCGATATTCCAGAAATCAATCAATGTAGGACACCACATTAACAAAAGGACAGGAAAAAATCACACAATCATCTCAATAGATGCAGAAAAATCATTAGAAAAAATTGAACATCCATTTATAATAAACTCTCCTATCAAACTGGGTATAGAGGGAACAAACCTCAATAAAATAAAGGTTATGACAAACCCATAGTTAGCATACTCAATGGTGAAAAGCTGAAGTCTTTTTCTCTAAAATTAGAAACAAGATAAGGATGCCCACACCTGCCGCTTGTATTTAACATAGTATTAGAAGTCCTAGCGACAGCAATCAGACAAGAAATAAAAAGCACTCAGATTAGAAGGGAAGAAGTAAAGAAGCCACTATTTTCTGACGACATGATACTATCTAGAGAACACACTAGAGTTTCCATCAAAAAACTATTAGAACTAACAAATGAATTGGTAAAGTTGCAGGATACAAGATTAACATACAGAAACCTGTTATTTTTCTATACACAATAATGAACTATAGGAAGAGAAAGCAAGAAAACAATGCTGTTTAAAATTACATCAAAAAAATAATAAAATACCCAGGAATAAACTTAACTGAGGAGGTGAAACACCTGTACTTTGGCAACTGTAAAATACTGATGAAGGAAACTGAAGATGATACAAAGAAGTGGAAAGATATTCTGTCTTAACAAATTGGAAGAAATAATATTGTTAAAATGTTCATACTACTGAAAAGAATCTACAGATTTAATAGCATTCTTATCAAAATACTCATGGTATTTTCTGCAGAATTAAAACAAGTAAGCCTTCAGAATTTTAATGTATACTAAGCCACAAAAGACCCTGCATAGCAAAGCAAACTTGGGGGAGAAAAGAAAGCTGGAGATTCGCTCCCTAACTTCAGACTATACTACAAGCTACAGTGATCAAAACTGCCTGGTGCAGGGACAAAATCAGACATACAGATCATAGGCAGCTCAGAAATAAACCCACACGCCTACAGTCAATTAGTCTAGGACAAGGAGGCAAGAATACTCAATGGAGAAAAGACAGTTTCTTCGATAAATGGTGCTGGGGAAACTGGACAGCTACATGTAAATGAATGAAATTGGAAATTTTTCTCACACCATATACAAAAGTAAATTCAAAATTGATTATAGACTTAAATATAAGACCTGAAATCACAAAACTTCTAGAAGAAAACACAAGCAGCATACTCTTTGATATTGGTCTTAGCAAAATAAATAAATGTATATGTCTCCTCAGGTAAGGGAAACTAAAGCAAAAGTAAACAAACAGGACTATAAACTAAAAATATTCTGTGCAAAAAAACCAAAAAGACCACTCATTGAATAGGAGAAAATATTTGCCAATGCTATATCAGATAAAAGGTTAATATCCAAAATATACAAAGAACTCATACAACTCAACATCAAAAAATAAACAACCCAGTTAAAAAATGGGCAGAGGAACTGAATAGACATTTTCCCAAAGAAGACATTCCCAAAGATGGCCAACAGGCACAATGAAAGATGCTCAACATCCTCATTGTCAGACAAAGGCAAATCAAAATCATAAGATATCACCTCACACCTGGCTATTGTCAAAAACATAAAAAATAACAAGTGTTGGTGACGGTGTGTTCCCCCTCATGGTGGGAACGTAAATTGCTGCAGCCACTGTGGAAAACAGTATAGAGGTTCCTCAAAAAACTAAAAAGACAACTGCCCTAAGACCCAACAATTCCACTCCAAGGTATTTATCCAAAAAAGACACAAATACTAAGTAGAAAAGATATATGCACTTTATGTTCATTGCAGGATTATTTTTAGAATAACCAAGATATGGAAGTAACCTAAGTGTCCATGTGGTTTATATATACACAATAGCATTTTACTCAGCCGTAAAAAAAGAATGAAATCTTGCCATTTACAAGGCATGGTTGTACCAAGAACGGTATAGGTGAAATAAATCAGACATAGAAAATCAAATGCTGTATGATTTTAGTTATATGTGGAACCTAAAAAACAAAACAGATGAACAAACCTAACAAAACAGAAGCAGAATCATAGACATGGGAACAACAGGTGCTTGCCAGAGGGGAAGAGGTGGGGGGAAAGAGAAATAAGTGAGGGAAATAAGAGGTACAAGCTTGCAGTTATGAAATAAATGAGTCACAGGGATGAAATGTACAGTGTAGAGATTATAGTCAATAATTACATAATATCTTGGTATGTTGACAGATGGTAACTAGATTATTGTGGTGATCATTTTGAAATGTATAGAAATATTAAGTCATTGTGTTGTGCATCTGGAATTAACATAGTGCTGCAGGCCAACTGTACTTCAAAACTGAACAAACAAACTCATGAAACAAGAGATGAAATCTGTGGTTACCAGAGGTGAATGTGAGGAGAGGAAGTGTGAACGGGATGAAGGTACTTAAAAGGTATAAAATCTCAATTATAAGATAGGTAAGTACTTGAGATGTAATGTACAACATGATAATATAATTAATGCTGCTGTATGTTACATAGGAAAGTTGTTAAGAGAGTAAGAAGAGTTCCCATCACAAGGGAAACATTTTTTCCATTTCTTTAACTTTGTACTGTATGAAATGATGGATGTTCACTAAACTTACTGTGGTCATCATTTCATGCTGTATGTAACTGAAATCATTTGCTGTATACCTTAAATTTTTACAGTGCTGTGTGTCAATTATATCACAATAAAATTTGAAGAAAAGAAAAGATATTGGAAAACTTCCAAAATGTAAAGAGTAAACATAATAAATAACTTACTCTTACTATATTTCTAAAAATAAATAGACGATCATCATAAAACTACCCAAATGTGATTACAAACAAGGAATTTCATCAAACTTCAAACAGGAAAAATTAAAAGAAAACCATCCCTGGGCAGATCATGATTAAACTAAAGATAAAAAATAATAGATACTTATTGGGAAACAATGATTCAAATGACCATAGATTTCTCGTCAACAATAACAGACATCAAAAGACAGTGGAAGATATTTTTAAGAGCCACAAGGGAAAAAAAGAAGATGAGAAACCCTGTTTTATACCCAGAAACAATATATTTCAGGAAAAACAGTAAAATCAATTAATTAAAGAGGATCTGCCAACCAATCAGCTCCTGGAGGAATCTGAAGAACTTCATGCCGAAGGGATACATGGTACCTCAGAAATTAAAAGAGAGCACAGAAATGGTAAACACCTGGGTGCCTAGGAAAGATTACTTTTATCTCTTCTCAGATTTTCATTCTGAGAACAGTTTAAAGCAAAATGTGTAACACGGACTAGTGGGAGTTTCACTATATGTAATAAATGTAACAGCAATGGTGCTGTGATAAACCTATAGGGTATTGAGGTTCTGAGAAATTACATGAAGTGCTACTATGTTAATTCTAAACTGATTGGAAAAATTAAATATGTATATTGTAATACCCTGGGCTATAGCAAATAAAAATGTTTGAAGACATATTGCCAAAATGTCATTTGTTAACAGAATATTAATATTATTCAAACAGGGACTTCCCCGGCGATCCAGTGGTTAAGACTGTGTGCTTTCAATACAGGGGGCAAAGGTTTGGTTCCTGGTCAGGGAACAAAAATGCCACATGCACATGGGGCAGCCAAAAAATCTAAAATTAAAAGCATATATTATTCAAATAATTCAAAAGAAAGCAAAGGGAGAGAAAAATAAACAGAGGAGAAAAATAGAAAACACATAAAAAATGATAGATTCCAAAATGTTAAAATCTAAAGCATCCAAATAAATGCAAAGATAGAGAATGATTTTTGGAAGTCCATATTATCTGTATTCTAAGTAAGATAGGAACACTTTAATACAGAGTGAGACAGACACCACACATAAAGAGTGAGCAAGAGAAGTTTCTTTTTAATGTCAAGTAAAATAACATAGGGTCATTGCATTTACTTTTTAAAAACTGGGATAAAATACACAAAGCAAAAAGTGTAACATGTTCATCGTGTTTAAAAGTATAGTATAGAGGCATTACAGAGAAGGCAATGGCACCCCACTCCAGTACTATTGCCTGGAAAATCCCATGGATGGAGGAGCCTGGTGGGCTGCAGTCCATGGGGTCGCTAAGAGCCAGACACGACTGAGCGACTTCACTTTCATTTTTCACTTTCATGCACTGGAGAAGGAAATGGCAACCCACTCCAGTATTCTTGCCTGGAGAATCCCAGGCAAGGCAGAGCCTGGTGGGCTGCCATCTATGGGGTCGCACAGAGTCGGACACGACTGAAGTGATTTAGCAGCAGCAGCAAAGAGGCATTAAGTACAGACAAACCACTGTGCAAGCATACACACCACCCATCTAAAGAACTCTTTGCACTTTGAATAACTGAAGCTCTGTCCCCATTAAACACAGCTTCCCATCCACTTCCCCAACCCCTGGCACGCACCATCCTATCAGTACTTTCTATCTCTATGACACTCACTACTCTAGGTCCTCACGTAAGTGGAATCGTTCAGTATTTGTCCTTTTGTGTCTGGCATATGTCACTCAGCACAATGTCCTCAAGGCTCATACTCACTGTAGAAGGAATCAGAATTTCCTTCCGACTTTCAGAGGCCCCTCCTCCTGTTTGCTCTTTGTCAGAACAACATGGTTTCTGTTATCACTTCACTAGAGAAAAGAAACGGGAAACTCACCCTCATGCAGTGTGCATCTCCAAAGCACTCCCTCCATAACTGGCCCCCTTTTGTTTACTTTTCAGAGTTCTTCAGAGTTGTCTTTTATACTTTGTCCAAAGATTTTCTCTGCAATTAGCAAGAGCAATGGGTTTCACCATAGCACAATTGAAACTTTTCCATTGCATTTTCACTTCAGTTTTTTTAACTTTTCATTTAATTTATAGAATTATCATATAGATCTGGTAGTGATGAAAGTTTTCCTTTATGTTAGTTGTGACTTCAGATTAACAAACGAAGGTGATAAAGAATATATATTCTCTAGTTGTTAGTCCTCCAGAGCAAGAAAGAAGCAAATAACAATTCAATCATAAAATATTCTCCAGAGGAAGATGAACTATATATGAGGGAAAAAAACTAAATTTTCAGTACACTGAAAAATCAAATATCTGTTGAAATTAATGAGGAAAGGATTATGTATCTCTAAAAGTACATATCCTGTAATGATCACATATGTAACATAAGCATAAAAAACATTAAAGAAGTATTGGAATTAAAACATAAGGAGAGGTCAAAAGACTTTAAAAATACATAAAAATAAGTAAGGTTCCTATTTCTTCTCTCTCATGGGTTTTTTTCACCCATGAATTGGCCTGGAAGTGGTAATAGGAACCATATCCATCTGGCCGGAGGATACAGAAGAGATGCTTTTGAGGGCCACAGAGTGTGGGAGGGAATTCCAGAGGGGAGAACCTACAGAGGGGTCCTAATTCCGTGTGTGTGCTTGCAGGTATCTCAGCCTAACCCTGAACACACACAGCTTACACCCACAACAAGAGCTAGTGGATCCAACACACAGAAGCTGAATTAGGCACAGAGGTTGAACCATATCAGGCTAATTGCCTTCTATAGCAAAACATCTCAAGAGGGACAGAACAGGACTGAAAACATAATACAACATTCAAAGTGTCTAAATATAATTTAAAGTTATTCACTATACAAAGAATCAGGATAATGTGACCAATTTTAAGGGATAAACATGATCAATGGATGCCAAACCTTCACCATACAGATGCTGAAAATGTTAGACATTTGTTATATCAGAAGATCAGACTTCAAAAATGGGTTTAATGAAAAGCACAAAATTACAGAAAGAAGTCCAATTCATATTTCAGCACTATTTCAGATTTTTGGTAGAATGAGAAAGACTTCATTTTGTGAATTAGGGCTCAAATTCAATGCTTTTTCTCTGTATACATAAGGAAACATTATGGAATTGCCATGTAGATGAGCAACTCTACGACTCACTTATGACCCACATCTCAACATCTCTGAATCATGTTGGATCTTATAATCACTGAACTGACACAGCTTAAATGGGAAATTTTTTTTAAAAAAGTCTTAGTGATACACAAAATCATGTTACTTCTTAAAATATGTAGCAATTCTAGTTTGATAATATGCGGTACATAACCCTCATAAAAATACATCTTTTTAAATTTGCTGTTTAAAAGTGAAGTAAGATACTGAAAGTTATAACTTCCAGTTATAATTGAAAAATATAACTGAAGTTATATCCTATTATATTCCTACTCCATTCGAATATATGGAATTTTTACTCTGTTACCTGAATTATTTAACATGGAAAAAATTATAAACTTTATCCTGAAGGCTCATGGTCTTATAAGTTTTTATCTTTAGTTTGGTATCAAACAATATCAACTTTTGAATATGTTTATGAGTTTCACATTTTCCCCAAATTAATAAAATAATTAGGTTTGTACACAACAGACATTTACTGATGCACAAAGAGGTTTCATTTCCAGATGATTTTCCCAGACTGGTTTTTCCACCTACATGTATCTCACCTATTTTTTATTCACATGCATGAGTTCTTGCATGGTAAGGAAATTAGGTGCTTGCACACATTCTGATGAATTTAGTACATCAGTAAGGGTAGTGTGGCTTCCCAGGTGGCTCAAGTGGTAAAAAATGCAGCCGTTATGGAAAACAGTAAGGAGGTTCCTCAAAAAATTAAAATAGAACTACCATATGATCCAGCAATTCCACTTCTGGGTATTCACTCAAAGAAAATAAAAACACTGATTTGAAAAGATATCTGTACCTCCATGTCCACTGCTGCATTATTTACAATAGCCAAGATATGGGGAAAAACTGTGTATCCATCTATAGAAGAATAGCTTTTTAAAATGTGATATATATATGAAATATATATAATGAAATATTATCCAGTCATAATAAGGAATGAAATCTTGTCTTTGTGACATAGACAGACTTTGATGGCATTATGCTAAGTAAAATAAGTCAGACAGAGAAGGACTGTACAAATACTATGTAGTTTCACTTATATGTGGAATCTAAGAAAAAAAAAAACAATGAAAGAAACAAAAAAACCCCAACACCTCAGCTCTCTATAGAGAACAGACGTGATTACCAGAAGTGAGGGTTGGGGGGGCAAAATGGGTGAAGGGGGTCAAAGGGCATAAACTTCCAGTTATAAAATAAATAAGTTCTAGGGATATAATGTAGACCATGGTGACTACAGTTAATAATGCTATATTGCAATTTGACTGCTGTTAAGAGAGTAAATATTAAAAGTCCTTATCACAAGAAAACAAAGCATTTGTAACTATGTATGGTAACAGATGTTACCTAAACTTATTTTGCAATATATACTGATAACAGATCATTATGTTTTGCACCTGAAAGTAATATAACGTTATATGCCAATTTTACCTCAGTATAAACATAAAAATATATTACTAAGTATGAAATCTTTGAGGTAAATGAGCTCCACTTTCCAGCTAAGGTTTTGTTGACATTATACTCTTGGGATTTCTGTCCAGTGTGCATTCTCTGTGGTTAATGAGGCATCTGAAAACTTTTAAACATTGATTACATTCAGAAGATTTGTATACATTATTAATTTTTCTTATTGAATAAGAGAGAAGTTATTTTGAAAAGTTTTCCCCCATTAATTGCAGTCATAGATGACTTCTCTCCAGGATGAATTCTCTGATTCCTAATGAGGATCATTTAGAGTTGAAGACTTTCCTACACTGTCTGCACCCAACAGAGTTCTTACAACTGCTGAAAAAGAGTTGAGCTATAGCTGAAGGATTTCCCACATTTACTACATTCATAGAGTTTAATGGATTGAATGGTGTCTCCTTCAAATTTAGAGGTTTTATAATTGGTTAAACAGTAACCTCCAAAATTCACTCAGAACTTCAGAAGGTTATCCTATTTGGAAATGAAGTATTTGAAGATATAATTATTTAAGATAAAGTTGTACTACACCAGGGTGGGTCCTAACTCCACTGACTGGTTTCCTTATAACAAGCGAGAGGACACACAGACACATAAGGAAGAACAGCGCCAAGGAAGGATGCTGAAGGTAACCGGTGATCCGGAAGGCTAGGAAAGAGGCATGGGACAGACCCCTCAGAGTCTTCACGAGGAACTAACCTCAACTACACCTGTTTTTCAGCGTCAGGTTTATTTGCTGAGCTGTGAGAGAAGAAACTAATATGTGTTCAAGCCTGGGTGTGCATGCACACTGCGTCCATTCATTCGTGTCTGACTCTTTATGACCTCATGGACGGCAGCCCTCCAGGCTCCTCTGTCCATGCGATTCTCCAAGCAAGAATACTGGAGTGGGTTGCCATTTCCTCCTCCAGGGGATCTTCCCGACCCAGGAATCGAACCCTCATCTCTTAAGTCTTCTGCATTGGCAGGCAGGTTCTTTACCACCAGCGCCATCTGGGAAGCCTATTTATGTTCATATCTGGAAAATTAATTAGATACATAAAATTCATTGAGAGGTGTGCTAAAAAAGATACAAGCTGCTAATAAAACAAGTTTTAAGTGTCTTTCTAAAAAGCCCAACATGTTCAGCTAGAGAAAGCCTTGCGCACCGTTCTGGCGCCATCTCGTGTCAACACCGAGTCGAGCACCTCTAAATATTCTAAACGGGGCGCGGCGACAAGCGTTCCTGAAAATCCGGGGAGGGAAAGGAGATGCGCCTGGAAAGGCAGACTGGGACAGCTCTGAGGGAGGCCTTTATCTCATTGGCTCTGAAGGGCTCTTAGCACCTAAGTGACACGATCAAATGTGTGTTTTAGAACAAACCATCCTAGGAATACAGGCACGGACCGTGAGAAGGGATCAGATGGCCACGTGGACAGCTGGTCCAAGCTGTGCTTCTGCGTGAATTTTGGGGCCAGATCACAGGAATAGCTGCCTCCTACCAGAATACAAGCAGGGTTATATGTTTTGGGTTATATGTTCATGTCTATGCGCCCCCCCCCCACCCCGCCCCCAGCTTAAACAGTGCCTGGCACATAACACTTATTATTAGGAATTAAAAGGGGTGACAACTTACCACATAAAGACCACAGGATAATACTGCCGAAGTCCTTACCCCAAGCATCCCCTAAGCCCCTTTCTGAACATTCCGAGAGGCGGGCGTGTCCCCCCATCTCACAGGTGACAACCGGGCTCAGTGAGGTCGCCCCTCGCCTGGGCCAACGCCGTCCTCCGGCTCCGGACTCCTTCACCGCCCGGAGCCCAAGAAGCGCCTCCCGCCTCAGGTCCAAACGCCGGCGCAGCCCAGGCTTGGCTGGGGTCGTCTGTGCGTCCCTACCCCGCTCCGGACCGGGGACATATCCGCCAGACGACGAGGCGGGGACGCGCTTCTCCGAACAACCTGGCGGGCAATTTCAGCCCCAGGAGACCTGTCCCCCGGAACCCCTCCCAGGCTAACCGGGCCCGAGGGCCCCAACCCAGAGAGGTGACACCCAGTCCCAGTAGACAGGGCACAAGGTCTCCACCATCCACCGCCCGAGCGGGAAATCTAAGCCGCCACAGGAAAAGACTCCCCTGACGTTACCTCACGGACCTGGCGAACGAAGCGCCCCGCTTCCCCTGTTTAGACTGAAAAGGCGGTGTCTAAACGCGAAGGACCACAAGACTTCCAAAGGAGCTTCACTCCTACCAAGTCCCGCCACCGCCTCCACTAGGCAAGACCCACTCAGTCACCCTGCGGTCATCCGCTCCGCTCCCGAGGACTAGCTCGGCCCCGCTCCCCCGCTCGGCTCTCCTCAGCCCCGCTCGGCCCCGCTCGGCCCCGCTCGGCCCCGCTCGGCCCCGCTCGGCTCTACCCGACGGGCTCTATCCACCTGCTCGGCTCCGCTCGACTCTCCTCAGCCCCGCTCGGCTCTACCCGACAGGCTCTGTCCGCCTGCTCGGCTCCGCTCGACTGTCCTCAGCCCCGCTCGGCTCCGCTCGGCCGCGCTCGGCTCTACCCGACAGGCTCTGTCCACCTGCTCGGCTCCTCTCGACTCTCCTCAGCCCCGCTCGGCCCCGCTCGGCTCTGCTCGGCTCTACCCGACGGGCTCTGTCCACCTGCTCGGCTCCGCTCGACTCTCCTCAGCCCCGCTCGGCTCTACCCGACAGGCTCTGTCCGCCTGCTCGGCTCCGCTCGACTGTCCTCAGCCCCGCTCGGCTCCGCTCGGCCGCGCTCGGCTCTACCCGACAGGCTCTGTCCGCCTGCTCGGCTCCGCTCGACTCTCCTCAGCCCCGCTCGGCCCCGGTCGGCTCCGCTCGGCTCTACCCGATGGGCTCTGTCCACCTGCTCGGCTCCGCTCGGCTCTCCTCAGCCCCGCTCGGCTCCGCTCAGCTCCGCTCGGCCCACCTGCTCTGCCGCTATCGATCCGTGGAACAATCGGGATTCGCGCGCTTCTCTGGCTGGGCGCAACGGTCCTTGCCGGGTCCGGCTCGGCCCTATTCGGCCCTCTCTTCGGCTTGTGTCCCGCACAGCCGTCTCCACCCGCAACCTCGTCGCCTTCTCCGGTCACCCGAGGAGCCCCCTGCCCCTGTCACCCCTCCGCGGCCGGGCCGCTCTGAGGGAGCCGCTCGTATACCACCCCGCAGGGGTCCTCCCGGAGTTCCCGCGTCGCACAGGCCACGCGGGCTGAGGGGCAGCTCCTGGGTTTCGGACCGTCGCGGCCTCGCTCGCGTCCAGGCCCCCACGTCGCAACCGGGGGACCTTGGGACCGACCCCTCCCCGCCGAGTCTCGGTCTCTGCCCCTGCGGACTGGAGCGGCTGATAACCCCGTGGTCCCGGGGCTCGCGGCAGGGCTGAGGAGCCGGGGAGCGCGTGTCTCTCTGTGAGCAAGCCCGAGGGTGGACGCGGGGGAGAGCCAGGGCCCTGAGTGCGGAGACGTGCACGGAGACCCGGCCCGCAGCCTGTCCGTCCAGAGCTGTGTGTCTACCAGCAAGTCGCCCAGTCTTCTCTCAATAAAGGACAAGAACTCTGTGGGCGCCCCTGCCCGGGACCTGGAAGAATGAGGTTGCACAGGTGTCCCAGTGCACGTCCTTCAGAAGGCTGGGTTGAGGGAAGGATAGCCCGTGGCCTCCACTGAGATTGATCCACAAACCTTTCCTAGCCTGGAACTCAGAGCTGGGGAGGCAGGGCAACAGGTGGGTACTTGAATTGCAAGCTGCAGAAACTGGATTTAGGAATTTAAATGAAAACAATTGTTTGAAAGGATATACTGAAAGGTTGGGGAATTAAGGGAGGCCTGAAGAAGAAAAAAACAAAAACAAAACAGAAGTCAGTAAAACAGGAGTTTGGCTGCCCCAGGTGGTCTCAGTACCTAAGACCTCTGAACAGTCACCCCAGACTACTTGGACTGTGTCCAGACTAGAGGATCTGATTAATGGGACGTTCGTGTCAGGAAATTCTTCACATTGGAGTCGGTTTTGGAGGATGAATAGAAGTTTGCCAAAGGGAGAAGAATGGGGCTTCCACGTAGGAGGAGCAGGGACAGGACACGCTATGACAGGGCAGGGATCTGGGGAACACACTATGCCAGGTGCTTTCCTGGTCATCTTATTCAATGCTCACAAACCCTATGAACTAAGTGCTGTTAGTTTTGGGGGGAAATGAGTTTATCTTCTTCATAAAATTGCTAAATGCCTTTCTAAAGAATTCAAGCTAGATAGCAAAATGCTGCAAACATTGGGGGTGGTGCTAGGGATAATCATAGCAAATTCTAGTACCCCAAATGTCCAAGATTAATATTAGCAGCAGCATCACAGGTATCTTTGTAGGTCTATATATGGCAGGAGGCAAGAAGGAGAAAAGACTGGAGGGAGATTGAATGGAAGGGAGGGAGGGCAAAAGGAATCAAAGAATTCTGTGAAGGGGGATCACACTATTTGCTAAATTTTAAAATAAATATATGAAGCTTATTATACTTGAATTTAACAAAATAAAAAGAATTTAAATGAAATAAAAGCAGTTGCTAATTTGATTTATTGTTTGCTACCATGACAGATATTTCCTACAAGACTCCCCCTCTCCCAAGATTATGAAGAACATTGAGAAGTTGGGGGTCATTGTTTCTCTTTAAGTTACACGTTTTGCTCTTGGCTCAATTTTTCCCTACTATGAAAGTGAAGTTGCTCAGTAGTGTACAGCTCTTTGTGATCCCATTGGCTGTGCTCTTACCAGGCTCCTCCGTCCATGGCATTTTCCAGGCAAAAGTACTAGAGTGGGTTGCCATTTCTTTCTCCAGGGGATCTTTCCGACCCAGGGATTGAACTCAGTTCTCCTGCATTGCAGGCAGATGTTTTACCGTCTGAGCCACCAGGGAAGCCCTTTGCCCTACTATGGAGGATGAAGGTAAGTTCCTCACACTTTCTTCATGCCCACACCCAACATTCTGCTGTTGGGCTATTGTTCTCATAATGCCAAGGTCTTCAATATTACATTTACTCTGCCACCTCCCTTCCCTTGGATATTTAGTGCTAGTTCTGGGTTTATTTGGGACCATTACTCACCTCTAGCCCTATTACCTTGATTTTTCTCCCTCTGAGTTCCATATTTACTTTTATCTCTTGGTGGGCATAGCCTCAACTGATGAATGTGAACCTCAAGCTTTGTTCAAAGACACGTTGCCAATGGCAGATCAGTGGAGGAGTCAAGATTCCGAGTTAGATTTTCCTGACTCCAAAGACTACCCAGGAAACAGGAGCTTTTGGTACGAGGTTGGCATCTGGGGAAGGGGAGAGTCACTCTCCTTGAACCTTCTGGGGAGGCTGGAGGGGGCTGTCAAGACACACGGCTAATTCTGCCCCAGGGCTCAGTTTCAGGGCTGGGCAGATGCCCTGTGGTGCCTCTAAGCCAGCCCCAGAGGTCTGAGGAGGGAATGAGTGACACAGGCTGCTAGTCTTGTCCTAGATTTACCTGGAGGCTGAGAGCTGTGGATAGAAAGTAGGACAATGAGGAAGTTCAAAGCATCTCCTTTGCTATTGTAGAAACAAAAATTCCCAACCAGGGGTCTAAACAATGACAAGTTTCTTTCACTTGGGGGAAAGTAATAAAGCCCAGAGTTGGGCAGCCTGAGCTTCAGTGGCAGCTCGACCATATCCCCCGATCCTTCTTGTTTCCCGTCTGCTGTCCTTCTCCAGATGGTGGCCAGAGGTCAGCAAAGAAGAGGGAACCCAAGGAACTAGGAGCCCAAAGACTTGCTCCTGAGTCTCCCTGGCCAGAACAGAGTTCTGTGGATGATGCCGGCAAATGCAGTTTTTTAAGTCAAAAGACAGAAGCTTCATCTTCAATGGTAACTTGTGTTTCTTCATCACTTTTTAATCTATAGGCACAGCAGCCTCATCATTCACTCACAGATGTTTGAAGTGCCAGCTGTGGCTCAGACACAGACTTGTTGGATGTCTAGTGGTGACTAGATAAGGGTCCATCCTCACAGGATCACATGAGTGCGCCCTAAGTGCCAAGCAGCTGGTAGCAATCATACCCTTTAATTCCCCTCCCAGCACTGGGAACTGAGTACTATTTTCCCATCTGATGGACAAGTCAACGGAGGCGCTGAGAGGCTAATGATCTATTCAAGGCGCCGTGATTACATAACAGAGCCAAAATTCAAACCCATGTTGGTCTGCTTTAAAGCTTTGGCTATTCACCATTTTTCCCATCCTTCACTGTGCTCAATGCCTGGGACCTACCCCTCAGAAATGCCGATTTACTGGTTGGAGGTAGAACCTGGGCATCCGTGTACTGGTATTACCTTCTTTAGTCTCACAGCAACTGGAGATGGTATTTTCTATTTAAAATTGGGGAAGTTAAGATCTGGAGAGGTAGACTCTCTTGCCCAAAGTCATAGAGCAAGTTCTCAGTGGAGCTGGGAGGTGTGTGCCCATCTCCTGACCTTCTCCAAAGAGCTGTCCTTGGCTCCAGAAAAAGATCGCTTCCACAAACTTGGGGGGAAGCTTCCACAGTGGCCAGGCCCTCTGCCCCAGCCAGGCCGGAAGCCTCCCTGGAGATGTGTGTCCGAGGGGTAGGGCACCACGTGGCAGCCGGGTGATAAAGGGCCGGGCTGGGCCAGGATGTGCAGCGGAAGCCCAGCCCGCTGAAGGCAGAGGCGCGGCTGGACCAGGGTGGGGGCCGGACATAGGAATGCACTTTTTCCCCAGCAAAACACACTGTGGGTTTCCTCCGCCCCGACTGAGCCCTGCCTGATATGTCAGGCCCAAAATGGGTCTGCAGCCAGGGACTGGAGGACTGACCTGCGGGCAGGGGCCCACGG